GAGCGCGCCCGGCCTGCAGTTCGCCTGCGCCCGGCAACCCGAGCTCGCCATGATGCATTGCTCTTACTGGGACCACGACAGCAAGACGGGCGCGCTGCACTCGCGCCTGGATCTCTGAGAGCCACCGGGTGCGGGCGCGGCCCCCGGGGTGCAGGAGCGGAGCTCGGGTCGCAGCCGCAGGGTCGCAGCCTCAGCAGCCGGCCGGGACAGCGCACACTCTGGGACAGCCTCTTGAGCCAGAGCCCTCGAGCCTTCTGCGCCTCCTCGTTCGGCCCGGCTCCTGCGGCTCCGCTTTGTCGCCTCCGCTGCTCCTCCGGTGCTCTTCCCCACCGCGGCCTCTGCCTTCGCGCGCTCCGGGCCCGAGGCCGCCCCCTCCGCGCTTTCCGCAGGCCTCCTCTCCTCCGGGCGTCCCAGAGTCACCGCAGGGAGTGTGTCCCCGGCCGAGGTGCAGCCGAAGTGTCGGCGGCGCTGACTTCTTGGCCTTCTCTTGCAGGTCGGTGGACTCACGCTTGACTTTCTCCCCCCACACCCTGACTGCCGAGCTGTCTGCGGCTAGAAGCGCTGGGCTGCTGGGGTCGCGGGACCCACGCTGCCGGAGGAAGGGAAGAACATGTCTGGTCGCTCCGCGATCCCGCCTGGAACTGATCAGAAGCCGCTCGCAAAGGGGCCCACTGGGCGGGGCGGGGGTTGAGCCCCAGGCTGGAGCAGGGACAGCCTCGTTCCGCGGCCTGTAATCGGGTTCACATCCCCGCGCCTAGCGAGGCCGCCGTGCCTCCGCTCTTCAGCGCACGGCTTCGAGCACCTCCAGGCCAGGGTGGCTGGCTAACGTCTTGCTAAAAAGATCGGTGAGGTTTTTAAAGATATTAAAAAATACTTTTCAAGGGGGGAAAAAGGAGAGAGAGAAAAAACTTTCATAGGGAAAAACGGTGAAGTGTTATGGCCTTCGAGTTTGCTAAAACCAAACAACAAAATCAAAAGCTTTACTTTCTTCGTCCCTGCTGGGAGATTTGTGTAGAATTCCGGTAGTGATTTTAGAAAGCTGTGTTCAGAGCCGAGAGAAAATAACTAGCTAAAAGAAGGTTTTCACTACAAACCGGGAGTTTTCCACTCTATTTAAAAAAATAAATCCAAAACAAATTTTCCCGGATCTTCCGATTCTAGCCCGGGATGCCAGGAGATCACTGCCTGGCTGGGCCACACTTCGGGGATGACACTCCCCTCCCTGATTTTTGTTTTTCCAATGTCTTGCTTCTTCCACCTTCGGAAGGAGAAATGTGAAACCGGCCAAGGCCGGACCACACGGGGTTGTGGCCCCAGCCGGCTGGCCCGAAATTTCCGCGACCTGGTGGTTGAATAATGTCGTTCGGGGACCAAATTTTCTAGAGGGAACTAGAGCACTTTTGTTGTATTTGTATGTGTGTGCGCGCGTCCCTTGTCAATTCCCAAATAAATTCTTTGTTTTTTCTTTTAACACGGACTTACATTGTTTCTTTTACGTGGTAGTTCAACAGCTAGCTAGCTAAAAGAGCGAGCCCTTTGGCAAAATTGTGTCCTTTTAAAAAAGTGACACAAACAAGGGTTGAGAGCAACCAGGGTGGCAGTCGCTTTGGGCTGTCGCTACTGCTTTGTTTTTCTGGAGATTGTTTGTTTTTCCTGTGTCATCGCTCGTCCGTGGCGGCTGTTGAACAGCGGCAAAGATACCGGTCCTTCGCTGGAGGCTACTGGAGGCATGGTTTGTTCTATTCTTGGGCCCGTGTAAGTTTGTATTTTGCCTCTTACATAATTGTACTAGGTGTATGCACGGTGTTCTCATTATTATCCTCATACTTCTAAGGGTTTTTTCGAGTCAGATATATCACATTATGTGAGGGTTTTTTTTCCATATAAAATCCCGATTTCAGAAACACACTGCAATCTGCAAGCTTTTCTACAATGTACTAGCTGATTTGTTGTACTGTTGTTTTTAGCAATCGGCATTCATTGATTTTGAGATAAGGGTAGAAAACTTGGTGCTTTCCCTGCAGTTGAGTGCACTATATGCTACAGTGATGAACTTTGTTTTTTTTCTTTACTGAGCGCATCAAATAACGAATTAAGATCCATGTTTTCATTAAGATACAAAAGGTGTTTGAGCTGGTTGCAGTCTAAATCTCTCCGATGGATTAGAGGAGGCTGGCTTTCAGTTTTCAGAAGGAGTGACAGATACTGGATCTCTTACAGTGGTTGGGAGCTGATGAAAGGACTAGATCCCATGCCCAGCCATACATCTTATGCCTCCTTTTCTCCCTCCTTTGCTAAGAGACAGGTCCAGAGAAGTAAGTTGGGAGCAGCAGTGAGCTTGGGGAATAAACTTAATAGGTCCTCATTTCCGCTAACCGAACATCTAATGTTGGAAATGTCAGGGTGGTATTTAGATTGTTATGTTGCTGGGACCAAGGGGAAGTCCTTCCCACTCAAAATGCCCTCTCCTCCCACAAGTATCTCAGAAGGAGGATACAGGGTGAAAGACGAGGTTCTGTGGATTCTCAAAGGTAGAATATAAAGCCTGTCCAACCACCATACAGGCTGAAAGGAGAATCTCAGTGGCAGTGGGAAACAGGAGAGTCCCATCAGGCCCGAGGGTGCTTCTGATTAAGTAGTCTCAACTGTCTGATTAAGGGGGGGTCCCAGAAAAGACAGCAGCATGCTGTGTGTGCTCCTCCATGATTTCTGTTTCAAATATGTATCCTACGGATAGTGGTGTAGTCTGTGGCTGATAGAAATGTGTCTCTGGTGTCTGTTATTTAACAGTGGTAGGGTAGGGAGGTGTATCTATCATTCACCTGCAGAGAGGATGAATGACGTATTCAGGACACCGTAATAACTATATGACTAACATTAGCGAGTACTTATTGTTGCATTCATACCTACCTCATGCTGACATCAGCAGTTGTGTTCTGGGTGTGTATTTCTGTCTTGCTGAACGATAACAAAGTACATACACCCTTCGCTTCATCTGGCAGAGGCTCCCTATTCTGGGACTAGTTGTCAGCACCCCTTCAAACTGCTATCCAGAGCAGAAAACAGGGGGACAGCTTCCGAGGCAGGGCTCTTGGTGGCCAGGTCGTTGCCCACGTCCAGTGAAACGGAGACGCTGAGCAGAGCCTGCACCGCGGACTCTCTCATTGCACCCACGAACTAACCAGCACGAGGCATCGCAGCTGGAAAGGCTTTGCCAAGTAAGGAAAATGAGATGAAGGAATTACGGAGGGTTTCCCAAGAGTTTACACCGCGGTTGGGGGAGGTAAGAGAAGGGAGCCACCTCCCCAGGGATGCCTCCAGAAAGACATCTGTCTCTAATTCCAGCCCTAAGGGGTTCTCCAAAGCGCTGAAAGTCGGTCGTCTTCCCTAGTTGGGGACAATAACAGACTTTGTTCATCTCAAATTTCCTTTCTCTCCTCTCTCTCTCTTTGCACTTTTGGATTTGTTAGAGAATCTGATTCAGATAACTTCCTAAGTGAGAGCAAAGGTGTGTAAGAGAGTTCCTGACACAGAATGGTTATTCCTTCCCATACACAGTCTGACTCGGATAGCTAGCAGCCCGTGTGGGTCTGTGCATATATGTTTGTAGTGTGCTCTATCATGTGACATAAATAGAGTTTGATGCTAATATCCTACCAGTTTCTGAAGGTTCTGGGTAATGAGTTGTTAAACTTGGTGAATGATGTGGTATGTGGGGGGGGGGGTGGCGGCGGCGGCGGCGGCGGCGCGAGTGGTGGGGGTGTTGTGTGTCTAAACATTCCCAAATACTGACAGAATACAGCATTTTCTCACCTTTACATCCAGACTCTTACAGCTACCTTTCCTTTCCCTAAAAGCCTAAAGTAAGTGGGTTGGTGGGGGGATATCCAGTTCTCTTATGGGACTAAGTCGTCATCAGCATAGTTCCACATTCCATTCCAGTGTGTGGAGGGGTATTTGCTCTTGGGTATCAGTAGAGAGTTCTCAGCTCTATACCCTGCTTGGAGGCATCCAGACTTTGTATTGTCTTTTGCAAGCCAAGATTGAAAAATCAGCCATGTAGAGCCCCCTGGTGGTGGGTAGAAACTAGGGGCAAACCCAGGCTTCATTGGGAAGTACTTTGGTGAAGACTTGGAGCTTGCCAACTGCGGACTAAAAATCTTGCCCTCCCCACAAAGGGGTCCCAAGACCAGAAAGTGATTTGGTCGAGCTCAAGATTCCCAAAGTGCCCCCCACTTTATTTAAATAGCAATTAACTATGCCCTGTGGGCTGTGGCACCACTGTATGGCAGCCGGCTCAGAGTAGCCCATGGAACCTGAAGGAAGGGCTGAAATCAGGAGCCAGAACCTCTCTGTCATAGGATAGGATGTCCCTACCAGGGGCAAGCAGCTGACAGGGGCAGTATTTATGCCCCGCCTTCTCCCCCTGATGATTCTTTAAACCAAGTGGGCCAGTGACTATGTGCCTTCTGGACAAAGAGGGCTCCAAGCCGTACCAGAGGAATGTCTGGGTCCCAGGAACCAAGCTCACACTATTGAGTAGTTGAAGATCTGACCACAGAAGTGATCAGCTGCAGGTCACTAGCCCCAGAAATCCTCAGAGGAGACCCGAGAACAGGTGACATGAGCTGCCACCTGGCTCTGTGGGTCACTCAGCTCTGAGACAAAGCGCAGCCCTGAGCGTGAGCTTGGGCAGGCCATTCAGCAGGAACTGGTTTGTGGCCCAGGTTCTGGCTTGAAATGAAGTCATGGCAGTTTGTTCTGAGTCCGTGTTACCCCAGAGAGGTGGTTCATGCAGGATGAGACACGGACAGGAGCCTGTACACTGGGAAGAACTGGCAAGGGAACCAGGTGTCTTGCTTTAAGGACTATATCCTTGGCAAAATGTTGATTTCAGATTTCAGTTTCCTCATCTATAGAACAGTGATCTACCAGAGTGATTACAATAGTTAAATACTCTGATTCAAAATACCTAGTTTATTGTTGAGTAAGTTTCCAGTTCATGGAAGAAGGGAGAAAGAGAAGGGTCAAGCCTTTGGTAATAACTCCAGAGGGGACCACCAGCTGTCATTGCCTGGGCACCCCAGGAACCCAGACAAGCCAGCACCCACCAGGGTCCAGGCGCAGCTAATGGTATCTGTCTTGCCCAGTCCATTGACATCAGGAATGAGGCACCAACGGCACTGAACACTTGACCCCTAAGGGCACAGGTGATGAAGTCTTGGACTTACCCTGGAAACCTCCCTATTGCTTCTTTCAAGGCCATTTTCTCTGATATTCGAGGTTTTTCTCTGAGAAAGATGCTTTTCCCATAGGTCACCCTCCTCACTGATGCAGGAATGTTTGGGTTTTTCTTTACCCTTTTCAGAAGAGCAGAAGGTGGCCACCCTCTGTGGGAGATGGGGGGAGGGCATGTTAGCCCGTGGGTGAGTCTCCCTGGGCCTTTGGGTAGAAACAGGGAAGGAGGAGCAAACGCAGGATGCGGGCTGAACTGAGAGTCAGTGGAAGACGCTGGACTGCGGGGGGGGGGGTGGGGGGGGTAGTGAGGGACCAGCTTCTGGGGAAAAAAAAAAAAAAAAAAGAACGGGTCCTAGGCCTCCAGGGCCTAGGAGGGCACCCTCTTGTGGGCAACCTGCAAGCTGAGACCCTTTGGCTTGGGCTGAAACTCTCCAGCTAGTCCTAGTCATACTTTGGGGATCGGGGAATGAAACTGTTCAGTAGGCAGGTCTGAGCGTAATGTAGTCTGCACTGCAAGGCAAGGGGAGGAATCCTCAGAGAGCGGGAAAGCCCGCAGCGGGACTGCAGCAATCCGACCCCGGCACAAGGGAGACCAAACTGAGACCACAGCCTGATTAGCTGTCTTTGGTAATACTGCTAGCACATCAAACAACGCAAGCCTTTCCCTGGATCCACATCTGTATAAAAGGAACATTGGGCAGACAAACAAAAGGAAAAAGCAGGGTCCCAGGAAACGTTCATCCCTGTGGACTAGGGGAAAGAAGCATTGGCCATTTACTTTTTTGTTGTTTGCTTCTAGAAGAGAAAAAAAAGGAAATTCTCCACGTATTTTTGAAAAATCTTTCCCAACTACCACTAAAGGCTGTTAGAGTGAGCAGAGAGTCAGGAAACGGGGCCCCCGCCCGCGGTGACACGGGGCCTTTGTCCTCTTTCCTGAAGCCCCCGCGACTGCTGACCGCGCTGAGATAAAGGCCGGGTCAGGGCCCTGTGGAATCCCGGGGGAGGGGGCAGCGGGTCGTCCCGATGGCCCCTTTCAACTCCGTGTGGAGAGTTGACAATTCCAACTCCGCTGACCTCGTGGGTCTACCAAACAGGGGCCACAGCCTGCCTGGGTCCCCAAACCCGTTTGCCCTGAGAGATTTCTGCCGGTCCCCATTCTCACCAGCGCTTTTATTTTCTATTTAGAGACTTGGACGGGGAAGAGCTGCGCTCCCTGTGGACCT